TCTTATATAATTAAATTTTGTTTGGACAATGATATCACATAAATTGGACTTGCAATTGTGTACCTACTCAGCGAAGTACAAAACTCAATTACTTACGATAGTTTTATTTGGCAATGATTTGTCAATAAAATCTTCATCAATTTTTGTGGAGTCCTAGCTAAACTTCTTTTACTCTATGAAGGCCGATATGTAGTTAAGATATGATCAGTGGGCATCAAATCAAACAGTGGAGCATTAATATTTAATTTCGATGGCTTGAAAAGTAAAAATATTTTATGTTCAGTAATAATATTGGATTTTACTGCATTAAAGGCAAATAAAATGAATATAATATGTATATACAGGGCAATTAAAAGAAGTGGGACGGAATATTTCGAATAACGTTTAAATGTTCATCAACGTCTCTATAAGTTTCTATTTTGCGTAGAGTAATAAAAATTATACGAATGGTTTTGCATGCAGTTAAATTGGAAAATACTTGCCAAGTTGCTGGTATGACCAAATTTGAATAAAATACATCAAAGATTTTACTTTCTGCAGACACTGTATAACCTTGAAACAAATTGGCACTAAATCACTTCTGAGTTTTCAGCAAAACAAAATGTTTAAACACGTGTAGTCCAGTAATTAATACCTAAACTATTGAGAGTATGCAGTCCAGTAATTAGACTGTAACTAAAACACACCACAAAGTTTGAATTGAATTCCCGAAACACTTTTTTGTTTCATCTTTTTAGCAAACGATTTTTCCTATTCACTGTCTGATGTTTCACTAGCAGGATTGCAAAAACCGTTCGCATGTTTTAAATATAAACCAAGAAACGATAACTTGTTTAGCAGTGCTGATCGAAACAACAAAGCAGTAAAATGTTATTCATAAAGGTAGTGTAAAATATATCGCCGCTTATCTGGTCCGCTAGTAATAAAGTTAGCACCATTTAATTGCAAAGCAGTCTTCTTGGGTGAAAAATCCTTATACTTCGGGATTTTTGTGATATTATGCAACTGTTCATTTATTTAGCATATTATGAATCATATAAACGTATTATAACGTTAAAAACGTCACATGATTGTTATTTTTCTTATACAAAAGTAAGTATCAAAATAAAATATTTATTTTATTACGATTTTATTCATTAGTTCTGTTTTATTTTACCATATTGCTTCCAAAAATAATTGGCGTTTAAATTTTCTATCAAATAAGTATTATGCCTAATAATTATTTTTTAATTTTAATTTTTGTATATTTCCTGTATTCTCGTCCCATATCTACTTTCAAGTAGCTACAAAGTTGTTTCTGTGTTGACAATTCTTACTTTCGTCTGTCAATTGTTTAATTTAATCTTGGGATAAAGTAATAATTAAGTTAAATACTTTAGCAATATTGAGTGTTTTTTTTTTTAATTTTCTTTTGTATTTTTTCTTATCAATATAACCTACCTTACCTCTAAGCTATGTCTATTTTTAATTTTTATTAAAGGCATAATATGCAGCTAAAATCTTTTATTTCATTAATTTTTAAATTCAAATGGTTCTATTAAATTAATTCACTCATATTTCTATAAATTGAGGCCATCCCCGGAAAAAGGGCCCATAAGCCTATGGGCCGTTTTTCCGCAGATCGTTTAAATCGATGGTGTAAAGTTCATTTTGGCCAAGTTTGGCAACAATGTCTCAAACCTGTGTCATTAGATAAAGAAAACATTTAACTACCATTTTAACAAACTTGTGTTCGCGTCCATTGTTCGTTTGCTTGTCGTTAACGTAAGTGTGTTTATTATTTAAAAATGAGTTCTGACGAAGAGGTAGTTAGATAAAACCTAACAAGATGTAAGAAGATTAATGTGATGCGAGAAAAAAGAAAAGTTAAAAGGCAATCAGGTAAAATATACGTTACCTTGGCAGGTCGCGATGTTACAGCTAAGTCATTTCAGTTAATCATAAAATGCTGCCTGGACAAATGTTTTACCCGTTTAAGTGTCGATGATCAAAAACATTTATTTCAACACTTTTATTTACAAGAAAAGGTTCAACAGGATTCTTTGTTGCCTCAGTATATAAAAAAACTTAATGTGGATCGTAAACGACTCAAGAATAATCCAAAAGTTTTAGGAGCGTATACATGGGAATATTTTGTGTCTCAAAAGGGTGACGGAATAAAAAAATGTGGTACTATAATTTAAAAACTTTATCAAGTATCTGTGAAGCGCATTCGTGTAGTACAAAAGAAGGTAATTGAGAGGGATTTATTTACAAAAAAGCGAGGGACACATGCCAACAGACCCCACAAATTGGCTCATAACATTCATGACTTGCTTAATGAGCATTTGGAAACTATTCCGTTTAAAGAAAAGTCAATATTCCCAACACAAATCCGAACTAAGATATTTTGAGAATCCCGAATTACATATTAAAAAGCTGTATGAGCTTTTTGTACAATACTTTAAAGAAAATACATGCACAAATCTAAAGATGAAATACTTCAGTATTTTAAGTCACTGCGTTCATACAGTTTCAACAATCCCAAAACAGACGTATGTGATTTCTGCACAGAATGTAAACAAAAACTATCTATTAATCTAATGATGCCTGTGTAATTTCCTATCGCCTTCAGAATGTGAAAGTAAAGCGACATATAGCAATAAAAAGGCATCTGATAGAAAGAAGTAAAACTGACAGTGATGCCTTTTTATTGAATTTGACTATGGATATAATCTACCAGTTCCGAAACTCAATATAATAGTGCAGTTTTATAAACGTCTACTTTGGTGTTATTTGTTTAATATACATATTCACAATAATGGGTCGTCTTTTGTGTATACATTTATGGAAGGACAGGAAAAAAGGCGCCGATTCAGTTATTTCATTTGTGTATGACTTCTTGTGCAAAAAAAATAATAGCGATGTTACTGAAATCTTATTTTTGTCGGATGCGTGCGAAGGACAAACATTTCAATGGTAAAATTTGGAATGTGGCTAGCACACAACTTTAACGTCAATATTCGACATATATTTCCAGTTCGTGGCAATTCCTTTAATCAGTGCGATAGCAATTTTGGGCTGGTAAAGTCATCTTTAAAAAACAAGGAATACATAGGGACGACAAAGCCTTATTTGGAAGCAATAGTGCATTGTCGAAAAAATCCATCTACTTTTAATGTTGTCATCGACAGAACGCTAATCAAAAATTGGACTGAAAATTTAGAAGGACTCTTTCTAAATATGCTACAAACAAAGGAACTTGTTTTAAGCATTCAGCAGAATGTACAAATGAAATACAAAAAAAAACGGAACATTGGCTTGTTCTCAAATATACATGGAAATTACATACCATTCACAATTTGGAAAGGAAGAAACATAAACACAAACATTGCTCTTCAAACTGTCCAAGTGGTTGGAATAAAGCCGGAGAAGGAAAAATACGTGAGATATCTATTTTCGTTTTTGTCCCAAGAAGAAAAAACAATAGATATAAAAAATAAACATTAAAATTTGTTTTATTATTTATTTTTTATGTTATTTACCAAATAAAGATTTTCTTAACCTTATTTTATACTTTCGCAAGTGATCTGTAGAAAAAGGGCCCATGACAAGCTAATATAAAAAAATTATATTTTGGCATATGGGCTCTTTTTCCGGGGATGGCCTCATGATATTAATTTAATGTCCTTGGCCATTGCTAATTTTTTTCCTATTTTTAATTTTCTACAACCTCATGACAAGACAATATGTAGAAAAGTCATAATTTCCTAATGCCCACTTAAAATTCTTCTTCTTTTTCTTCTAATATACTTTCGCTCTCTCAGGCGTCTGATTAAGATTTCAGTTCTTCCTTTACCAATTTTTTCTACGCATTTCCTTTTTTGGGCCTTGTCGTAAATTCTTTAATAGTTTTCCCTTTATTCTTCTCTATTTTTTCTATTATATTTATTTTCTTTTCCACTTTTTCTTTTCCTCACTCTTCCCAATTATATTATTTTCCTTGTAATCCTTTTTAGCATCTATTAAACATCCAAACCATCTATCCTGTCATGTACGAAACAAAACATTTGCTTCTGTTTAACATACTCACTCAAACTAGGTACAATATAAAATTGAAACATGCTGAGCCTTTCAGGTTAGATTTGTAGCAAATCATAAAACAAGACACATATGTGTTATAGAATACCTGTGCTTTAGTTTCTAGTTGTCTTAATAAAAATGGGTAAACAATTTTCGAAATTCGTAATAAATATTCTTTAGGGAATTTTTAATATCTTAATATCTCAAAAGAAAGGTTTTTCATTTGTTATTTGTCTGATATCTTTATTTTTTTCCTGTCCGATTTTATTTAAATGTTTTATTTTCATTTCGTTAATTTATGATTTACATTTTTTCTAAATTGTCATTTTCGCTTGCGTCTGTTATTATGGGCAGTGTTATTGTATTCTGTTCTCTTCCATTTTTTACATTTTTGTGTTCTTGTATTGTATTCATTATGTAGTGTAATCGTGTGGGTTTATTTTGTCTTTTTGTGCGTCTATTTCTCAAAATGCTGTCTAGATATTCGTACTTCATGATTTGTTTAAGTATTATTCCATAAAATTTAATTTCCTTATTGTTTTGGTCTTTATTATAATTAAATAGCATCATTTTTGTTTCATCTATATTTGCCTCCATTTTCATTTTTAGTATTTACGAATTCATCAGTCTTTGTATTTTATTTTTATTATTCGCTAAACTTGCAACTTCCTGTGTTTAATTATTGTATTAAGTTTTCTTCTTTTGCTTTCAGGTTCTTTAAAATACCTAAAATGACGCACTTATTTATTACGAATATAAGTTTATCAAGAAAACTATCAATTAAATTAAACTATTTCACAGTAGGACCTGTAAAATTTATGATTTCACGGTAAATGTATAAAACGTTTAGTTCATAGCGACAAATAAAATTAAAAATTTTGTACAACAAAACAATATAAATCGCTTTATACAAAAAAATAATTATCTATCACACTTACTCTGTCAATTGGAAACAATCTTTACAGGGACTAGCATCAATGTTTAGTGCTTCTAGCGCCTTTGTCATAAGACATAGACTAACAAGAAATATTAAACAGAATCTACGTTTCATAATTATGCAAGCTGGATAATCAATACACATACACCAGCTTAATTTATTTTCGATAAAATATTTTTTCGTAAGAGCGTTATTCCGATACGGAATGAAGTGACATATAATAGCTCATTGTATTAAACAGTGCGTGGGTGACAGAGTCATTTATGTTTAATTTAATTAAAACTACACGTTTTATACAGTGTAAAACGAAAAGACGATAAACTCTAGCTTAACTTTAGTTTTTTTGGAATATCCAAAATAATCGTTATTAGCGGTGCCGCGCCAGCGGCTATATTACAAATTAAATTTTATAAAAAAATTCTTATATATTTAAAAAAAATTTTAATTATTTCAAAATTAATACCAAATAAAGTACTTATATTGTTAGCTATGCCAAATGTGACATGATAATTAGCACAACAAGGCTCATACAATTAAATTATGGTTTACGATAACTTGTATATTACATATTTCACATATAGGTGGACCACTTTTAGACAATATATATAAATGAGTAAGTGTCGTGTGTATATACGTGTGTATAAATGATAATGTGGGAAGTTATCCATATAAATCTGATACTTCTAAAATTTATTTGAGCCTGCATAAGTTCTATCAGTTTTTTAAGAGGATCTTTGGAATGGATAGTTTAAGTGTTAGAAAGGCGCTTAGTAAGTTACTTAAGATATTTTATGTTAGTTAGGAATGTCATTAGGTTTTATGTGTATGGTAGCTTTGAGCACTGTATAGAGCTTAGAAGAGAAAACCGTGAAGAGGTTTGGAGAAAAAATTGATATCTTTCGCTTGAGGAAACGAATGGAATACCTACTCCTCTATCAAATTTTGATGCATCTGAGATTTAAGCAATTTTGTGTTACTTGACAGCATACAAATAAATATCTTGATTGCCATGTGGTTCCAAAAAATTAGTAATTGTAAAGAAAAAATTAGCAATAGCAAGGACAATCAAATTATTAAAATTTATACAAATATAAGAAAGTTAAAAATAAATAAAAGATCCTATCTATCAAACTTTTATTAAAGTTGTAATGAATACATGGCTTTAAGCTTAAGTATGTTATGATAAAAAATATTTAAATAAAATAATCAAAAAAAACACACTAGAAATTTGTAGAATATTAACAATTTAACCCAAGAAAAGGTTGAACAAATAAAATGGGTTTCTGAATCAAAATTCAAAACTACTTTAAACACATAAAAGGTAAATTCCTACTACAATGCCTCTGAATTGAATTTGAAACTGACGATCAGAATTACCAACGCACAAACAAGTTTATAACTAGTTGGGATTAGATTAAAGTTAGTATACGGGGTGTAAATACAACCACGGGGTTTATACAAAGAATAAAACAGAGTAAAACTAAAATAATTAAAAATTTAAATTAAAGAATATTAATTAAATAGAGTACGTAGTCAAGAAAAAGTTGATCGCCATCTATTTTTAGAAGACAAATGGTAGAACAAAACATAAAGTTAACAAATGAATAAAATCCAAATAAATTGGAATAAAATAATTATTTGAAAAAATATAAGGCAAGGAAAAATATTCTAAAAGTCTATTAACTGAGAAGAGAATAGTGTAGAGCAAAGAGTTATAAGAAAGCCAAGAAAATGCAATTTTTTGAGAGCGTTGTGACTTTGAAATCGTTGATTAACTTACATGCTGATTAATTAAGCGACTTTTTACGCGAATGCGCGTTGCATTAATTATGCATGTTGTTAAAAGACAAATCACGCAAAAAATTCAACATAAACAGTAGATGACAAGATGAGGGTATTTGTTAAAAAACGATCCCTCTATCACTTGTCGTTAGGCGACAAATGCCAACTTAAAGCTTCGATATTGCGGAAACTAATAAACAGAGTGCATTGTTTATTAAAAAACTTCCTATGCAAAATGTTTAAAACTAATATGCGTAAAACTCGCAAAGTAATGTTATTTATTTATAAGCAAAAAAAAACTGTTCAAAAGTTTAAAAAATTCCCAAGGCTCTCCTAAATGACCGAATAATTTTTTTGTTAAACGCATTTGAATGCTTAAGCCTTTATTTAAAATGGTTATTTTAAGTTCAGCATTATCATTATTCTCTCTGCCTCTATTCCTATACGGAGTGGGCTTCCTTAGTTACATTTCTCCATTTGTGTCTATCTTGGGTCATATAAATACCCTTTACCGACATGTCCTACCTAGGCGTCTCCCCAGGTCTTTTTTGATCTTCCTCTCCTACTACTTCCAGTTCCAGGAACTCGCAGATCAGCAATTCTTCATATTGGATGATTAACGTCTCTACGTTGAACATGACCAAATCATCTTAACTTATGCTCTCTTATCTTGGCAACAATTCTAGCCAACCCTAGACTTCCCCTTATATACTTTTTTCTAATTTGATCCTTTTTTGTCACCACTCATTCATCTAAATATTCTTATATCCTCCATATGTTCTTCTCTTTCTTTTTAACTGCCTAATATTCAGCTCCGTACATTATAGCTGGTCTAATGGCTGTTTTATATAATTTTTCCTTAAGCCGCATTGGAATTTTTCTGTCACATTACACCACTCGCTTCCTTCTACTTTATCCGTACACACCTAGTTCTGTTGCATGCATCTTCATTTATGCCCCTATTACTCTGTAACACCGATCCTTTGTATTTAAAACTATTAATTTTCACAATCATTTCACCATCCAAATAAATCATTCTATTTGTACTAACTCCATCTTTAAATGAACGTTCCAAATACTTTTATTTTTTTCCTAAGTTTTAAACCTTCTCCCTAACAGCTTGTCTCCACCATTCAAGTTTTTGTTTTAAATCGCTTTCATTATTTCCTACTATTTTGTGTCCAGCATAATTTTTTAAATTTAGTTTTTTAAGCGCAATATGAAGGCTATAATTTATGTTTAATGGATCGCAAGAATTTAAAAGAGAAACCATTTTTTTGTACTTTTTTTTCGATTGCTGCTATTTTTTTAACAATAAAATTAATTAATAAATTAATTAAAAAATTAAAAAAACATTTGAAAGAAAAGTTCGTAAATGGCATCCGATTAATAACAATCTTAAATCATCTGTTTAAATTTTTAAAACACTTCTCCATTATAATTTAATTAGTGATAGTGCTTATCTTCTTTCATATAAACCAAATAAATATAAACCAACATAAAGCTTAAAATTATATTGCAAAATAAATCTTACCTTTAAATTAGAGCAACCCAGATTTTTGTCAATTTTGCAAAAAAAAATATAAATTCGTATTATTAAGTAATGTAATTAATACGTATTAATATATGTAACTAATATTGTTCGTATTTTTAATTGAACTTATCATTTTAAGGACAAAACATAATTGACTCGGGTTAAAATGTCAATTAGTATTTCAGATTTCTTATTTTGAATGTAAACTAACATAAAACTTTAAATTATTTTGTATTAAAGCGTACCTTAAAAATATTAATGTTATTTATTAATTATATTAATATGTACTTAACATTTTTGTATTATTAATTAAACGTACCGTTTCAAGTACAATATATGAATGAAATTGCTCAGTTGCAATTCATATTTCCTTTCCTAGATGGCTCTAGGTTTTAAATCTAAAGTACTATAAAGTTTTAAATTATTTTGTAATAAATTCTACCTTAAAAATATTATTAAAATTAATTTATAATTATATTATAATATAAAAAATACAGTAACATTAATTAAACGTACCATTTCAAGAACAAAATATAATTGAAATTGATAGTTCAAATTTCTTCCCGAGATTGTCTGACAGAACGTTAGAAATAATCAACGTATGCTTTGTTAATACGTTAACAGGTATCCTTAGGAACAAACATAATAATACATTGAAGTATTAGAATATATAAAAAACTTGTTTTAAACATAAATAACAAATAAATAATAGAATTTCTTTATTCAATGGTAAAAATATTACTTAAATTTTAAAAATATAAAAACATAGTACAGTCGTCCCAAACCCTTCTTTCAGTGCGTCATAGTTGTTCGAATTCTCTCTAACGCATTAAGCTAGAAGTGACAGAAAAAACGTGAGTCGCTGATTATTATACATAGAACTTAGAAAATTAGGTATCGTTCATGGGTATTCGCATATTAAAGCGAATTCTACTTACGAACGTATAATTGGTTGGAGTTTAGAATACGCTAAATAGATATCCAATCAATTATGCATATAAATATAATTTGACACAGATAATCTTGATAATGACAGTGACAGTACTTTCACAATGTCAACTAATAAAATGATAATTGCCATTCCAGGTTAGTATTTTCAGACATTTTAACTACAGTGAAAAAGAAATTTTGTATTTATTGCCATAAAAATATTTTAAATATTCCGAGATATACCGATAATGAAAAAAGACTAATATTAAAATTATTAAATTAGTTTCAATTAGAAAAAGAGGCTGAGACACCTTTATTATCAGTTTCTGTCGTTCGCGAATCAGATTGTGAATTCCGGAATGAGATTGAGGAAATATCTTAAACTAATGCCTTTATGGATATTTATATGTATTAAAACGGTTCTTTTTAGAACCACGACATTTTCTTGAAATGTAGGATATAATTGATACCAGCCACATATCTAGTGTAATCATTGATTTTCAAGAATCAGATTCTGAATGGGATTATAGATTGTTTGAAATATAATATTCATTTTTGTTATTTATAAAAAAGAAGGTAAACTTACATTCGGTATCTTGTTTTTTAACTAAACTCCATTAGCACGATTTCATCTGGATATCGGAACTGGTAGATTAACTCAAAAATCAACTGCTTCACTATTTAAACTATTTATATTGTTTTTTTTTTTTTTAACTAAACTTTATAACCTTCTTTCATTTGCACACCAAATCTGGTAGAATAACTTTAAAATAAACTGCTTCACTATTTAAACTATTTCCACTATTTAATGACAACTCTTCACAAAATTAAACTATTGGCTGCCACACAAACTTATCAGAAAATTACTTATCCAAATATGACTGATTTAAATCGATATTATTTTATTACAGGAATGTTTACTTTGATTCCTTGCAATTGTCACTAAATTTTTTTACCTTGCAGTCAACTCTTAAAAGATTCTAGGAGGA